GAGACCACACATTTGTCCCACTAAGCCTGGCTACAGCCCTAGGATTTTAGAAAGCATTACTATTATTTGTGTGTGTGTGTGTGTGTGTTTAATATTACTAATCTTGATTGTTACTCATTTATGAATGGATAGTAGTTTTCAGACCTTTCTTTTAACCATAAAACCTTCCATCCATTTAAAAAAAGTGGTTATGAAGTCTTCTTTCAGTAGGGTACCAATGAAAATACTATCAGTTTAAACAGGTTATTTTATGGATGTATGTATGTATATTTGTATGCGGGTGTGGAGGCCAGCAACCTCAGGTGTCATCTGTCATGTGCCATCAGCCTTGTCTTTGAGACTGAATCTCTCACTTTTAGTTGTGGCTCTCTGCTTGGGCCAGGATGATTGTCCACCAAGCACTAGGGATCTTCCTGTCTCTGCTTCCTTACCACTAAGATTAAAAGCATTCTACAATGTTCAGCACCACAACGAGCTTATCAAACTGAGATCTCTCATTCTTGAACAGCAACTACATTATTGACTGAGCTATCTCCCCAGCCCCTTCAACAAATTGTTGATTAAATTCAGCTGTGTTTGGTACTTTTTGGTATGGTTTGAAAGTTGGCTCCCCGCACCAAGGGCTTCTAAGATGGAACGTTCGTCCTCAGGTTTCTGGTGCTGGAAGAAAATGTGGAAGCTGGAAGAGCTGAGATCTAATAGAGTTTGTAGGTTATTGGGACATTTTCCTTGGAGATGTTTAAGGTCGCTCCTATGAGACCCAAGTTAGTTCTTAAGACAAGGTTATAAAAGAACAACACTGGCCAACACTCTGGGTCCCTGGACAGAGATGATGCATCTCCTCTTTCTCCAAAAATGTTTACTCAAACGATGGCATTTCTAGAAGCATCTACCAAGTCTGCTCTTCCAAAATTTCATTCATAGAATGGAGCACATCTTAGTCTTGGTTCACCAAATTTGTGGTACAGTTGTTAAGATTTGGGGGAGAAACTTGTTTTTGCTTACTTTGTTTTACTTTGCTTGTTAATTCTATTTTTTTTTCATTTTAGAGAATTTCATACATGACTGTTGTCTTTGTATTGTTTCTGTCCCTCACAGTGCTGAACCAAACCCCCCCATGTCCCCCCACTCACTCTAAATTTCTTATTCTCTTGTTGTTTATATATTTTCATACACAGACACACATATTATATGTGTATATATAGTGCACTGAGTCTGTTTAGTGGTGCTCATGTGTATCTGTGTTTGGGACTCCCCACTTGGGACTATATAACCTATCTAGGAGCTAGTCCCTGGAGAAATCTAATTCTCCTTGGGGAGAGACTTGTAATGGTACCACAGATCCTGTCAACTTCTGGGTCCATGCTCTTGAAGAAGGTGGTAAGAATCTAGACCTGTCATGCAGGGCTGTAGTCCCAGGTACTCGGAAGGACAAGAAGGTAGGATAGGAAGTTGGAGGACAGCTGGAGTACAGAATCAGTTCATTGTTCTTGATTGAATGCAGCTGTCTTTGGTAGTTGTTGGTATGATCTGAATGTTGACTTGTCCCTCCCCTGCCCCCAAGGGCTTTTATGTTGGAAGGTTGGTCCCCAGGTGGCTAGTGCAGGGAGACAATGTGGGACCAGTTAGAGTGAGAGCTAATGATAAGTTCATAGGTCATTGGGACATTGTCTTAATTCAGGGACATCAAAATTATTGCAGAGTTTCACATCTGGTCAGCCACAGAGGACATATGCCTGGAGAGATGCCCAGTACTAGGTGACACATCTACAGTTGAATCTCTACAACTAAGGCTCATGGAACATAGCAGAATGAGGGATAGAGAGAGGCCTAATGCACCCCTCAACTCTCACCAGTGAGGCTTCCATGTACATCAGAGTGCGATGTACACAGAAGGCCACAACTGGCCAAGTTTTGGAGAGTAAGAGACTGTAGAGTGTAGGATGGCACTCCTATATGAACCTCACCCACCCACGGCTCAGGGACCTTTGCTGAAGAGGGCGCAGAAAGATTGTAAGAGTCAAGGCTGCTTCATGAACACTGGGAGGTAGAGACTTCCAGGCCACTGGAGGTGTGCTCATGTGAGCCTGTGGCAGCAGTGGTGGTGTCAAGGGCAGCACCCACATCAGCTCAATTAAACAAGGGCCCAAAGGGGGCTTGAGAAATAGGTGGCTGGCTAGCACTAGATTGAGAACTATTTGAGGCTGATGGCTGCTGGATGAGGGAGGGTATGACTTACCTACGACCACTGGATGGGCTGACTAGACTCCAGTGGACGCATTTACACTGACGGACATTTGGGTACAAACACCTGAATGAGTAGGACTCGGCATGTACAGCAGAGTGTGTGGGGTTCAGGAGGGGGATGGGGGGGCATAGATGGGAGAGGGGTCTGGATTTGAGTGGGAAATGTATGAAATTTAAAAAGCTCAACTAAAAAAAATGAAAAGAAAATTTTAATTAAAAAAAATCTCAAAAAAAATGGAGCTGGTGATGTAGTTCAACAGTTGAACCTTTTCTTAATATGGGTGAGGTATTGGTTCGATCCTCTGGTAGAAAAATTTAGGGGCGTTTTACACTAAAGAAGGCAATGAGAGTGCCAGTTCTTACCCTGGAAAGCAGTGATCTGGGAAGCACCACTGGGCTCCATGGGTTCAGTATGAAGCTGTTGCTGATCTTTAACTACAAAATCATAATTTAAAATTTTCATTTGTAGTGTATTTTAAGTGCGAAAAGATGGTAAACCTATGCCTGTTTTTAAATTATTTAATTCTAGGCTTTGAATGCCGTTTATGTAAAATGAATGTCGTGGAGTATAAATAAAACACAAGTGTGTCACATACGTTCACTATTGGACTAGTAAATTATACAGTGAAGCTGTGTGATCTAGAAACACCAGTTTGTCACAAATGTAGACAACCCCCATCCTTGAAAATGAGTGTGACCAGAAAATACATCTTTCATTCCAGGATTGGTTTCATAAGGGTCCTTTTTCTTACACAAATGTAGACAATCCCCCGTCCTTAAAAATGAGTGTGACCAGAAAATACATCTTTCATTCCAGGATTGGTTTCATAAGGGTCCTTTTTCTTAAGCGATACATTCTTAACAGCAACAGCCCAGCAAAACTCTCTCGCTCTTGCGATATTAAAAATGACATGTAGGAGATACCTTTTTTGGACTTATTGGCCAGGGTGGCCAAAGGGACTCCCAGTTAGAAACCCAGCATAGAACTGGGAAAATGAACAGCAGACCCCAATCTTATCTAAAGTAATATTGACAACTGATTGCTGCTAGATGAGGAACAGCTGACCCTCCTAAAACAAAGACCTCTAGATAGACTGACTAGATTCACCAGAAGGGCGTAGTGGGGAACGGCTGGGGGTGCTGACAACACAGCAGACAGTAGCAGGGATATCGGAGTATAAGGGCTCTGGTGAGGGGAGGGAGGCTATGGGAGGGTGCCATAGGGCAAGTGGGTGTATAGTTGAATAAGATTTTTGGGATGTTCTGTATGATATACACACACA